TTTTTCCTTCCCTTTCTTTTCTCACCTTTGCATTATCTGCAAAGGGTCTGTGCCAGAGGCCCTGAGAACAGTGCACCCACTTGGTCTGCTCTCAGGCACAACCCCTGCAAGCATGGCTCTCTGATTCCTTGAGACATCCAGCTGTGCTCATGTGGTGAGCACAACATCTCCAGCCCATAGCAAGTCAGCCACGTCCTCAGATTTACCCCTCAGAGATCATAAGGAAGATGTTTTGTAACCTTTCTTCTGCCAGCACGGTAGAGGGTCTGTGTGTGTGCAACTTTTCCCTCTGGCTTAGAGGGTGGGTGTTTATCCATTGTACTGCAGCTTATGGCCTGGAGTCTGACAGAGCGCCTGCTGGAATGTGAACTGACAACATCTTCTGAGTGACTAACCAGAGAACACGCTTCTAGGTGGGAGGAGTCCGATGGTGTGCAAACACGTATTACCCTTCACACAGTGGGTGCCTCAAAGTGACCTTGAAGAGTGCAAAGCAGCACAGAATTTATAACATCCTCTTATTAACAAATCATTTTGTGCTGACCCCCACTGGATCAGTTTTTCACTGATTGCTTTAAAGGGTGCAGTGCCCAGCTCCCAGGAAATAGAGCAGCTACAGTTGGCTCTTTCTCTCTACTATCTTACTGCCTTTACTTCTATCCATTGCCGACTTTCCCTCCCTCAGCCTTCCTAACCCCCAGGATCAAATTTCCTGGGGCAGGGATGGTTTTGTACATCATGATCAGTCTATCTCATCTTAGTTTCAGGTAAAACACGCACTCGTTTTCATTTGACTCGGCTTCTAACTTAGATGTTTCAGAAGGTCAAAACTTCCTAACAGGGCATTGGCAAATACCCTAACACAGTTCACAAGAACAGGCGTTTTTATCAAGGTTGAATTAAACAACTCAAGGTAATCCTTTTTTATATCCTTTGAGGAATCTGAGACCATTAGAGATGAAAAAAATCTGTCCAAGGCCATGAAGGTACCAAAGGGCAAAACAAGGCTTCAGTCTAATCCCAGTGGAACACACGGATTCTGCTGTAGCTACTCTTGTTATGTGATGTCCACTCTCAGGAGACTAAGGGCTTCGGTTTCTGGACCTTTTCTGTTAGGATGATGGTCTCTCACACAGTAAGTCCCTATAACACGTGAAAACTTCCTCATGTGCTACCTCCTATGGAAATACCCCTATGATATTTACGTTGTGACTTTAAAAGGCTCACATTTATATGACTTTAAAAGGCTCACATTTATATGGGTTTGCTTGTGTGCCACATTGCATGCAGTGCTCACAGAGGCCAGAAGAGGGCATAAGATTCCTTGGAGTAGGAGTCACAGGTGTTTGTGAAGTAGGTGCTAGGAACTGAACTTAGATTCTCTGCCAGAAAAGCAAGTGCTCTTAAGACTGCGTTACCCCTCAAGCCCTAACTATACATCAACAGGGTGAACGTGGATTTGAGCTAGGGACCTCTTGATCTGCTGTCTAATGCTCTATCCCTGAGCTATACCTCCTGATGGGGCTCACATTTTAACAAGACCACCCACAGCAGGAGGGAAGTGGAACCCAATGCCACGTATGTCGAAGGCATGGGCCTCCAAGGCATGGGCCTTCACGATGGGCACAATGCCCACTTGTATTCCAAGACTTATACCCAACGTACCTCCACTTTATTATGACGATGATTAATCAATTTCCCTTTTCACTTACATAGAATTCTCGCTTTTTAGCTAGCCCTAGTGTCGAGCTGTACTCACATCCATAGCCTGTGGAGCTTTAAAAGGGCCAGAGTTCTCTCTGATCCCCATTTCATCTAGTCCTGTTCACTGCCTGGTCCCTGGAGGCATTTAAAGCTTGCAGCCTGAATTATAAAATTCCTGGCATAGGGACCACATTACCTAGTCTCTGTGCTACCATCACTGTAGAGAGAGCCACATAGCAGCTGGAAAAGCATAAATGAGGACAAAGTGCCAGCCTATCTTAGCAGCAGTCACCTCCTTGTTGACTGATCTTCGTCTCTGGTTAGTGGTAGGAATGATAAAGACGAGGAATGATTTCAGAGGACTTAGTACATATGAAGATATCCCTGGCCTCAGTACAAAATGCTGGCAGAGGGGTGAAATGCAAAGAATATTAAGCTAGGGGTCAGAGGAACCAGGTCTAGTTCCAGTTCAGTGTCTTCTTGTCTTTGGCCTTGGGCAGCATCAGTTAAGCTTTCCCGAGCCCTTTTCTTGTCTGAGAAATGAGGTCATTGCCCTGGGTATCCCTGAAGACCCTTGTAAAGAACAGACAAGACATTCAAAAGAACATCAAGGAAGGGGAAATCACAATGCCAGGTAGTGGCATTTTAAGGAATAACACCAAAAAGATGGAATTAAACCTAGAATTGGAACCCTGAGCTTTTCTTCCCAGGGCCCTGCTCCACCCTCCCACACCACTCCTTCCCCAGGTCCCTTAGGAATCTCAGTCATCAGGGGCTGGGTTTCCAAGGCTGAGGGTCCATGACTACATACTGATACCACTCCCACGTCTGTACGTCCAGTATGGTCACATCCCGGTCTTAGTGCAGACAAAGTCTGCAGCTGTGGTCATGGTGAAAGACCTCAGTTACCCAGCTCTCATTTTCACTCTTCATACTTGTTTGGTGAAAGTTTGGAGCCAGCTTATGTGGGTGTGGTAAAGCAGCTAGGTGAGGTTTTATTTTTGGAAGGCTTGAGCCTCTGAGGTCATCTGTGAGTTAGGAGTGGCTAGGGCGGGTGCCACCATTTCTGTTCCACAAATAAAGGAAGAGTTCAGCTCCTGGGAGACTCCAGCCAGTGCTGCTTAAGTTTTCCAACATCGTATGCTTTAGGAGGGGAGAGTGGTGTGTGTGTGTGTGTGTGTGTGTGTGTGTGTGTGTGTGTGTTTTCCAAGAGGACAACCAAACACTTACGTGATTCAAGGGCTCCTACATGGGTGGCAATTAAAAACCAGACCTTAAATGAAAAGTTACCTATTCTTTTTTTTAATACCAGAGAAGGGTATTTAGAGTTCCATGAACTGCTGCACTAACAGAATGGCAGACTTACTCTTTCTCAGTGGTGATGGGGAAACTAATGGTGTGGCAAAAATATACAATTATGCAACTTGAAAGCCGTACAGATAGGGTTCTATTTTCCTTTCCATTTCCTCCCTTCATTTAACGTTAACAGAAGTTCAAGGCAATTAAAAGTCAAATGCTACCTTATTACAGTGTTAAGGCTTAAAATGCACATGCCAAATTGGGCGAATGAGCAGAAATACAAGTCACCCTTGTGGAATGTATAGCTTGGTGTGATGATTCGGAGTCACCAGGCTTTGGGTCACAGCTTCCTTTGTCCCAGAGGTTGAACCCTCACCTGTCCTCTGCATGGGTGTAAATCTAAGAGTGCATGGAGACCTTTTCCTTTTGATCATTGAGCTAAGATACTGAGAACAACCAAGTGCCATGCAAATAGCATCTTTTTAGCCTACCATTCAGTACACTTTCTCCCAAAAATACGACACCTCTTTTGTCTCAGATGCAGCTGACTCCCTGTTAGTTCCTCCCCTTCCCTCCGCCCCTTACCTGATCTACTCTGTATACCAAACATGTGCCTCCTCATGTCTGAAATGCCCCTCCCAAAGGAAACCACATTGCAGGAGTCCTCCTTCACCCAAGGCTCCATTTTCTGTAGTTCTAATACCCTGCCATCAAAAACACTATGGAGAAAATACACAATTTACAAATCTTAAGCTGTGTACCATTCTGGAGATTGTCATGACAGTTTTCACTGGCCAGTGTGTACAGCTTGGGATATGATTCACTCTTGCACTGTTTCCACACTGTATATACTACCTACCTGTCACTCCCTTAGTAGCTGCCTGGGTTATGAGATTATCTGGTGAAGTACAGCAGTGCTATGTTCAAATATTTTTCACTTAATAAAGACTCATATAACAAGAGTACTGATGTTGGCAATATATTATATATTTATATATTATACTACACTGAAATAAATGCATTTTAATAGTATTAAATTCAATATTGAATATTTACCTCATCTGGATTAGCTAGGTAACATGTACATAATATTGTATATGTATATATATTTAGTATATTATATATAATAGTTTAATTGCAACGTATTGCCAATAATATATATTAACCTATTTCAATATATTATGATTACTCTATTATTTTTACTGTTTTTGTTTTGTTTTGTTTTTTTGGTTTTTCGAGACAGGGTTTCCCTGTGGAGACTGTCCTGGAACTTGCTTGGTAGACCAGGCTGGTCTCCAACTCACAGAGATCCTCCTGCCTCTGCCTCCCGAGTGCTGGGATTAAAGGTGTGTGCCACCAACTCCCGGCTTATTTTTACTGTTAATATTTTACTGTGAATAATTAATAAACTGAAATTAATTGCAAGTATAGATAGACAGAATATAGATAAAACACACACACTTATTGTCCTCACCTACCACTTATTCCAGATGTTCTAGATGATGGGAGAGGCTAGGGAATCTCAGATCTAATTATCCCTGGGGCTTCTATGGTGTGGCCACAAGGGTGAGCTTTCTGCGGGCTGGGTATCAGCCTTTGGATTTTCTCTCTTCAGCCCCCAGAAAGCCTGCCTTATTACATCAGCTGTCATGCTGTTGATCTTGAAGGAATAGGGGTGGGTGAGAACACTTCTAGAGAATAGCTTGAGCCGTGGGTCTGGACCTGCCTGTTAGAAAGCAGGAATGGCTCCTAGGGATGAGGGTTGGTCTAGAGAAGCCAGGGAGGGGAATTCTTTGTAGTTCTAAGCAAGATGAGCAGTAAGGCTTTGTGATGGGAAGTCTGTGGGTTCCAGGCCCCCAGCCTGGGCTTTGACTTTTCCTTGGTTTCATTAGCTTATACTCTTGTGAATTCTTCATGAGTCAAGATCAAAATCTACCTAAGGGACAGTTGAAGAGTCACAAACTCAGACTGAGGCATGATGAGCAGGTATGACTTACTCAGTATGTGTCTTGGGACAATCCCTCAGTTGCTCTGGTCCTCAGTTTCTTTATCTCCAATACGGGGATAATCTAGAAAACACAAAACACTTTGTATGTATGTATTGTTTATACTATGTCTTTAGAAGACAACTAGGACACAGACTGACTTTCCTCCAATCTTTTGATGCAGTTCTAAGGAGAAACATGCATACCCCCTAAAGACAGACACACTATGAGCTGGATGTGAGGACCTTCTCACAGGGTCCTTCAGGTGAAACAGGTGGGTGGTGCATGTACACCCAGGCTTCTAGAAACTATATAGTTAGAGTCAGAATTGGGGTCATTCTGGTAGATGAAGGCACATGACAACAACAACAGTCACTCTTTGGCTCTGCCCAGGACCAGAGCAGCCTAGGGTTCTTGGGAAACGTATCCCAGTGATGGGAGGTCTGTCTATGTTCTTCCAGAATGGAGGGGGGTAGTCAGTCATCACTAATTCCAGAGAAGTTCTTCATGCCAGAGTAGTGAAGCTGAGGCCTACGTGATGTCTAGGTGCTGGAAATTTGAATCCTTGTGTGCACTGGGGGTTTTCAAGGACTAACAGCATGTTCACCCTGTTTAGCGAGTTCTGACATGCACATTCCATCCATTACTGGGAGGCAATGGGGTTGCTCATGAGAGCAAAGGGAGTGACACTAGCTGCTGCCCAATGGTTGCATGATGTCTGTGGTTTGGAGAATACTTATGAGTCTTCCTTGACTGTTTACTGAGTCCCTGTAATAAAAACAGCCCTATAAGCACCGTTCTTTACACTCAGAGAGGCTCATGGTGCTAATACAGATTTGTGTTGATGCAATATGCCATCATTTCCTTTGAATCATTTCCTTGTAGATGCATATGGATTTCATGTCAGGAAGTGTTAGTTAAGTATCTATTATGTGATTGGTATATGCTAAAGGGCAGCGGGTTAAGAGCTATGACATGACTTTTATCTTAAGGGAGTTTCTTCATGAACCTTAGAACACTGCAAGTTCTTGTTTTGCTTAGCCAGAGGGTAGGTCAAGTCATGCAGTCTCAAAAGCTTCTGGTTTCTTATCACCATCAGGGAAGATAATAATAGTATTGGCTTTACTCATCATCCCGTATTAATCCCAAAGCCCACAGTAATATACCTGTGAATTCTTTGTAATTTGAAAATGCCCTGCAGAGTAGCTTTTGTGGTTTTTGAGGCAGAGTTCTTCTGCATCCTGGGCTGGCCTCCAACTTGTTATTTTACTGAGGATGACATTGACCTTCTGACCTCCCTGCCTCTACTGTACCCTACCACTCTTCCCAAACCTGGTTTTTTTTTTTTGTTTTTGTTTTTTAATCTTTTCATCTTCTAAGCCTCATTTAAAACCTTGTTCCTCTTGGGAAACTTCCCTGGATATATTACAGGTCAGAGTCCTGGCTCTGTGCCCTTTACTGTCCCCAATATTCTTGCCACAGCCCATGCCAATATTAGGATAATTTTTTATTCCACCATCTTACCTTTTATACACATGAAATCTACTCCCATGATGGGATCCATTCTTGACCTTCCTGAGTGCTGGGATTACAGGTGTGTGCCATCATGCCAAGTTTTATGCTTTGCAGGAGAATCGAACCTAAGGCTGTGTGAATGCTAGGCAGGCACTCTACTCACTGGGCTACATCCTCAGTTCCCCCAAAGTATTATTCAAATGCTAAACTAAGAGTCAGCAAATGCCACAATGTGAGTTCTACCAGACTGGAAAGATAGATCTGGGCTCTAAAGTGGGATGGTAAGAGGAGTCGAGGCTGTGCTGATCCGTGTTTGAATTTAGTCTTTACACGAGGGTTGGACATGCTGACGGGGGAAGGGGGTTCTGGGGTGAATTAAGACTACATGGGAAAGTTGCTACAGAGGGACAGGGGCAGTGGGCATTCAGAGAGTCTCAGTATGAACTAACAAGGAGGAAACATTCTGAGACATCTGAGAAATGGCATTAGGAGACTCTGAGTGCTTGATACAGGCTCAGTGCACTGAACCTCACAGAGGTTCCAGAAGCTGTGGGCAGTGACCTGATAACACCAATGTTTCAATGGTCCCACCTAATCTCCCTCATAAATGAAAGGGCACCTTGCCAGAAGTTAGGGTTACCCCACCCCTGGGGCCAATGGCAGTCTCTAGGCAGAGTACTTATGTATATTGCAATTAAAAACTTTTATTTATAGTGTACTTTCTCCCTTAGAAAAAAGTCTGATTATGATCTGAAATGAAGTATCACCAAACAAATAAGAAAGAAGGTGTCATTTATTGATGTCCTGACCTCTTGGGAATGGGAGCAGGAGCAAGGATATCTGAACACTCACTTCTCAGCTTTGAACTGACACCAAATGGACTTAGCTTTAGTTATGATTGAATTGAGTACTCTTACAACCTCGTACTTACAACTTCTGGATTTGGGGGTGGTTGGGGAGAGGGTCTCATCATGTAGCCCAGGCTGGCCTCAAGTTGGAGCTCCTCTGGCCCCAGCCTCTCTAACGCTAGAATTATAGGCCCACGCTATTACATTCAGCTCAGGGATTCGTTAATGAGTCGTATAACATTTTTCCTTTGAGGCACTGTGAGTAGGAAAGGGAGGGACTGCTTGCCTCATTTCACAGGCGAATAAAGAATAAGGATTTGTTCAGAGGTGTAAGGCTGTTGTGTTGTCACAGGAAGACAGGTTGAGTTTTTGTGTCCCTATGCGATGTACTCCTCACCACACTAACGCCTAAAAAGCAACAACAAGGGTAACAAACAGCATCCACCAATCACTTTAGAAGTTTATGCAGCCTTCTCTTCCTCAAACTCTGAGATCTGTGGTTCCCCTCCTGCTCTGGAGTCCCACACAAACTTCTCCATCTGTACCCCATCATTGTTCCTAAGACCATCGAGTTTCTTGTAGACCTCAGCTAAAACTTTGTTCCTCTTAGAAAAACTTCCTGGGTCATGTTAAAGGTTAGAGTCCTGGCTCTGTGCCCCTCACTGTGTTGTATTCTTGTCCATGTCAGCATTAGGGTAATTTTTATATTCAACCATCCTCCCTCCTTTCCACATGAAATCTACTCTCTTCGTGGGATCCCCAATATCTGGTATCATTTTCATTTTGAGAAATATTTACTTAGTTAACGAATGAACATCTTTTCTAGATGAGAAAATTCTGAGGCTTATTGAAATTTAATGACTTGTCCAAAGTCTCACAGCTATCAAAGATGCCACAGAAAAACTTTCTACCTGTGAATACCCAGCACTCTTGTCCAGGCACACTGATGTCTAGGTTCACAAACAGCACTGTAGTCAAAGAAAAGATACCCAGAAAAAGTGCACAAATGGGAATTTCAACATTCCAAATCTGAAGAACTCTTTTAGCCTGACCTCTGCTCAGATGCCAGATGTTCCTGGAACTCCCAGAGTAGGCACACTCTTCAGGCAAAGGCGATTGGCCTCAGTGGACATTAGGCCTTTCATGGGGCACCATATGGAATTTTAAGATGATGTTACTTGGTTGTGACTGCTCCCGTTTTTTTGGAGAGCCCTGCTTGCTCATGTGTTTGACATATCTGTGCTCTTGAACTGATGACACTTCACATAGTGACCCCAGCTGTCACACAAACTGAGTCCAGGGTGTGTGTGTGCGCGCATGCGTGCATGCATGTATGTGTGTGTAGTATCTCACAACCCCATTGTTATTACTACAAAAAGTGTCTGTGTCCCATTCTTCCCAAAGGGACTCTCTTTGCTGTCATCTAGTCTCCATTATTGAGCCTGTGTTGTTGACATCGCTAAAGTTGAGAAAACCAAGAGCTGCCATTTCTGGTCCCTGCAGTGCAACCATTTGTTTCAGTTTCATCTTGCTACCTACTATATACACAAAGGACATCTCTCTTTTTTACGACTTCCCAGAAAATGCTGCACAATGAAAAATAAACACTCTGCAGTTCTCTGGGTAAAAGACTCAAACCTGAGCTGAAGACAGACCGTGTTTAGACATCTGTTTCTTATTGGGGCACCGGGTGAGCACAGGGGAAGCACCGTAAGGCAGGATTAGTTATGTGTCCCAAAGGGAATTCAGACAAATGGTTATGGGAGCAGCAAGGCAGGATGAGCTAACCTCTGTGAGCAATGTATGGAAGGATCCAGGCAGGTAAGCTTTAGAGGGCATCTGTAAGATGACAAGGCAGCAAGGATGGGAAAGGAAGGCGAATCCCGCTTGCTAAAGAAGAGAGGTGGCCCCAAGGAAGAACCCAATTAAAGTGGCTCAGGCTCTAGCTCAGATCTGCAGGTTTCCAACCTCCCTGTTACTATGACAATACTCAAGCAGCCTCCTCCTCTGACCCTCCCTCTTCCTGGGCATTTCTCCAGCTGCTTTAAATACCAGGGCATTCCAGGGAGCACCCTGGGACATGGTAGGGATTCCTCACGGCCAGGCCTATGGAGGAGATTATTGGGAAACCTGCTTTCCCTACATATTTCATGAGGCATTATGACTTGAAAGTCCAGGGGGTGGGGAGTCACTGCTGACATACCAGGCCTGAAAACCTTCAATTTTTCTCATGTTTGATCAAGGGAGCAGTGAACAGTGGCGGTTTTTCTATCTCCTCCCATCCCCCATGACACCCATGCTTTATCTCGTTGTACATCTTTTAGTTTGATGTAATTCTGATTTCAGATCTGTCACAAGGCCTTGGGCAACTAAAGCAGGTTGGGTTCAAAGGGATTTTCATTTTCTTTCTCTACACACTCCCACCCCCCCCCATATACACACTGGAGAAAGAGAGAGAGGGGGTAGGGAGGGAGAGAGGGAGGGAGAGAGGGAGACAGAGGCAGAGACAGGGTAGAGAGGGTAGAGGGATAGACAGAGGGAGAGGGAAAGGGAAATGGAGAAGGAGAGAGATTGCATAGCAACACTGCCAATATTTAGCATTAGTTTGTGGAAACCATATGAGGTTTTGGGGAATACCTGGACCAGTCTGTGGGTGTGGGCTGAGGGATGGGAAGTGTATAAGATGGGTGTACCCAGTGACTCAGTGAGAGGACTTCTGTGGTCTCACTTCCAGCTGTCCAGTTAGCAGAGTGCCCTGTTTGTGATCCTACATGGCTTGAGTTTCTCTTTCAGAGAGCACAGCCTAGCTCAGTCCTGTCTACACCAACTCTGGTTATCCAAACATGGAACATCCACTGACACCACCCCTGCCTGTGGCCTTGTTTTTTAGCTATAAAAGGAAACTAATGACAGATCCTCTGTCCTAGGGTTGTTGTGACAACCAGGTAAGTTAAGTACATACACTGCAGTTAAAACAGTGCTGGTGAGGGGCAAATGTTCAGTGAATGTTAGTTTTGTCCATCTGTTTCCCTATAGGATTTATTCTGTGATCTCTGCTGAGGTCCAGTGGCAGGGAGCTAGAGTGTACAGAAGGGATCACAGTGATGTCTCCTGTGTGTGTCATGGGAAGATGGCTTTCATGTTTCAGACTCAGGGAGGAATGTAAAAGACCCGACACTTGTCCAGCTCCAACCAGGTAGGAATGAGATAAGCAAGAATGGACTCTTGTGCAACATAGGGATCATGTTAGCTGAAATCCTCCATTCCACTGCATCACCACCATAACCATGCATGGGAGATAGCTGCTTTTCTGACAGCATGGGTGCTGCTCTTGTCTCTTTCTTGCTCAATTTCAGTGCCTTTTCCTCTAGGCATCTCATGTCCAGTTTGGTACTAGCACATGCAAGATGTTTATAAATGTGTTGCTGTTGGTGAATGAATTTGATTGATCCCTTATAGTTTGGGGAGATGGAAAAAATGAAGTTTAGCATGTCTCTGGGAGGACTTTGTTGCTATCATAGGGACTAGGACACTCACATTTGTCCCCAGCACCCTATCTATATACACATCTTTGCAAGCCTAAGTCATGGAGTTAGAGAGAAGGGTCCATGAGGAGCAGGAAAGGCTTGGAGTAAGTAGAGCTCTCCGTTGCAGCCCCAAGCAGCAGCTATGGGTTAAGTAAACTGGTTAGCTATCTGGGGAGCTTGCCCATTGGGAATAAAGAAGCTGGTGGCAGAAGTTCCAGAAAAGCACCACCATTCTGCCTTGGGTGGCGAGTGAAGACATGGCCGAAGGAGAAGAGACACACTCCTCCTAGGGAAGATGCCTCTCTCAGCTCTAGACAAAGAAAGAAGGGCAGGTGACTGCAGGCTCAGAGGTGGCAGGTCCCTGAAGGTGCAGTCTGAGTCTCTTTTGTATTTTGTTTTGAAGATGTTCCACAGCCTCTAGCAGTGTCACACTAATGTTTGTGCATTAAAAAGAAATACTGCCCAAGTCATGTTGAGACAGCCTTTGCCATCTGAAGCAAGGCTACTAGGCTTCCTAAGAGTTTTCATCATTTTCCCTGCTCCAAGAGAAGCTGAGAACGAGAGGACAAGAAAGTGACACATCCAGTTCTCACTGATCCTGGGAAAGATTGGGTGTGTGTGTGTGGGTGAGACTTAGTGGTGTTATTTTCTAAAAACAGGCCCATAGGGTATAATGGCACATGCCTTTAATCCTGTAACTCCAGAGGCAGAGGCAGGTTGATCTAGGTGAGTTTGAGTCCAGCCTAGTCTACAGAGTGAGTTCCAGGAGAGCCAGGGTTTCTTAGAGAGACTTTGTCTCAAACATCATCTCCACACTCTCCATGGGGTGGGTGGGGAAGACAGGCTCTCATTATGTAATTCTGGCTGGCTTGGAATTCATTAGGTTGATGAGGCTGGCTTCAAATTTACAGAGAGGGATCCACATGCCTCTGATTCCTAAATTCTAGGATTAAATGTGTGTGCTACCATGCCTGGTGAGACTTACTTTTGGGGGACACTCTAGACCTGCCATAAAGCTATTGCTTCCTATACCTGCTGCCTGAGGTGCATATGCCTATGTAGCCATAAAATATGAGTCAAAACAACTCTGAAATGTCTAAAACAATGGGTTTTAGTATCTCTGGTTAAAATTGAAGCTCAAAGGCATCAAATAAGAGATTAGGCATTGAACAGTATGCCATGTTCTCTGGCATGCTTTGGAGCACAGTGAATTTGTGAGTGTGTAGATAAAAATGCAGAGAAAAGGAAAATAGCTTGAAAATTCCTGAAAAAAGTTCAACATAGAATTATCACATGACCCAGCTATTCTACTCCCTGGCACACACCCCAAAAAACTACAAACAGGTGCTCAAGGGAATCCTTGTATGTACATATTGCCAGCAGTATTATCCACAATAGCTGAAAGGTGGAAACTCAGATACCTATAAACCACTGGATGGATTAAACAAATGGTGATGTGTATATATAATGGAATAAGGTTAGGATATAAACAGAATGAAGTCCTAATAGAAGTTACAACACAGGTGAATCTTAAGAACATGCCAAGTGAAAAATGCTAGTCACTACATGTTATATGCTGCATAGTTCCCTTGATAAGAAATTCCTAGTAAGTCCACAAAGGTAGAATATAGGTCAGTGTTTGTCAGAGACTGACAGCATGAAGGGACAGGGAGAACTGCTTAATGGTGTCATTTGGGGACTGTGAAAATATTTTGGACACAGATAGGTACGGTAGTTGCATGCTAAAAATGATCATTGAAGTGTTCACTTTATAACAGTTAATTTTGTGTCAATAAAAGATGCAGGAGATGATACAAAATTTCTTGAAAACAAATGATGGGGTGGCTATCATTTTTAATTATTTGAAAAGTGTAAAGTGTTAAAGATCTTTGAGTTTATTCACCCATACCAATATCACATGTTTAATGGCCACACCCATCAGTGTTTTCCCTTCACTCTTGGGCCCCAAATGAATAATATTTTTCAAGACACTAAATTCTTGTTCCTGGAAAATGTCAGTCAGGAGCACCTGACCTTCCCTGTGTGGTACATGCCCCATGACTGGTCTCCTCCCTTGGGCCAGACGTCTGAAAGAGAGGTATTCTTTCCACAGGGAAGTGGTGCCATCCATCCATGGAAATTACAATCTCCGTCCCTTTCCTCGGAGAGGCCAGTGAAATCGTTCTTATGCCGAGAAGACTGCGGCCACTGCATGTCAGGTTGTGCATTGTGCCACCCGGCAGGGCATTGCTTTCTTCCTGACCCAGAGAAGGCTTTGGTCCAAATATCCCACAGGGCAGAGACTAACTTTTTAATTTGGAAGCCAGGAGATCTCTGAGCAGGCTGTGTGTGTCTAGGTAGGGTGGCAGGGTAATATGCCGTCTTTCCCAGGGAAGCCTTCATTTCTGGATGATGGGGGTCACCCACGTGACCAGCCTGGAGGCTTTCATCTAGGCCACTCTGTGCTAAGCTGGCAACTGCTACTCAGCAGACTGCAGGCCTCAGGCAGCAGGTAATGCTTTAGGTTAGGAGTGGAGAGCTGGGAGAGCAAAGGGCGGTGCGGTGGTGCGGGGGTGGGGTGGGGGGTGGGGGGAGGATGGGCAAGTGATGGAAGCCAAGGTGTCAGTCGGCAGGACTAGATTTAAGAGCCATGCATTCTCTGTTAACTTTGAGTGACTGAAATTCTTAACAGGACTCCTGAAGAAACTACTGAGAGGCTGGTATGCACACAGAAGCTCTGTGGAGCCCGGGGAAGAACGATGAACACATGTGTTTACTCTAGTTTCCATGGGAAATTCACTTCAGCTACCACTACTTCCTGTGTGGTTTCAGGCTGGCTGAAGCCTGCAGGTTACCACCAAGGCTCTGGGTGTCCGAAGACCACAGGCAGAGGGGCTATTGAAAGCCTGTTCTTTGTCCCACTCATGGATGATCCAAAGATGAGGAACCATAGGAAGAGGAAGACAGACCTGGTGTCTTACTTGGGTTGGGAAGAAAACAGGGATGCTTCTTTGTGTCACATTCTGCTCCATTTACTAGCACCGATGGAACTTCCCAGTTCCCACTGCTTCCCTCCCTGCCTTCAGGCCTAGCCTCTGTCCCATCTCTGTATCCATGACCCTAGACCTTTTCCCTGTAGAACGATCTAAAGATTGAAAATTCTCTACTATGCAACTATGCCATCATAGTTGTTCAAATGTTTGTCTATCTTCTGCCAACTTTTATTAATAGCAAAACAAAACCCAAAACAAAAAGCCCTAAAAGGAATTGCTTATGGACTTTCCTTCATCTGGAAATGAGAGGCTTTCTGAAGAGAAAATGAACTCAGCTGAGAAATACTGCATGGAGAGGAAGTTAGAATTAAGAGTGAGGGCAAGCCTCAAGTGGGTTATAAGCACTCTTTTCTTCAAGTTTGAGTTAAGAAATGTAGGAATGGCTGTGGTTTCTTTTCTCAGAGAAAAAACTCCAGGGGTAGCTTTCTTACAATAGTGGGAGCAAGTGCCTGGTCAGACATGAGGACTGTGTCTTGACACTGTCATGTTTGAGACCTTTCCCTGAAATCCCATGTTTGTATGCAGTTCCTTCTGGAACTCAGCTCCCCGTTCTCCACTGAATGTGTACTCCACAGCCCCAGATGGCGATCTGTTCAGACAGCACTGGACAATGTTGGGGAAAGGACAGATGCCTAAGCTGATTTGTGGCACTAGGGAATGCTCTGTAAAGAGTCTGCTGGCGATTACTCCTTGCTGCTTAGAGAGGGAAGAGGTCTCTCTTGTCACTGTCCTAACCTCTTTCTCTGTAAGAGTGACCAGGGTCATGTCCTTTGATCATTCACCTGAAGCCTTTCTCATCAAACAAATGAGTTACACGTTGGTGTCCAGTGAGGAAGGGGAACTTCTTGCTGGTCTCTGAGCACACTGTAATCTGAGACCAGTTTTCATGATTATTTGAGCAAACACTGAAAGGGCTTTTAGTTACTTATGCACCCATTATGTGGTCTGCCTGCTTAAACAGTGTTTGAGAACTCCTGAGGACAGTTAAAGATTGAAGTTGCAGAAAGGAAGAGACAGGGATGGTCTGGATATCGTCATGAAAGATGAGGTCTCCCTGCCCCAATTTGGTATGCCAGACTTTGCTGAGTCCCCAAGGAAGGCCTTACCCCCTCTGAGGAGTGGACAGAGGGTGGCAAGGATGGGAGGCAGGGGGGCAGAAGAAGGGGAGGGAGAGAAACCTGGGGTTGGAGTGTAAAATGAAAAGTAAATTAAATGTTAATAATAAAATCATTAAAAAACAAACAAAAATATGAGGTCTAGCTGAGTCTCTTCAGGAGGTTGCCCCCGGAAGCCACCCCAAGAAGATTCAGCCTTTACATGTGATATTTTCATTTTATTTCTGCATTTGTCCTGTGTGCTGATGTCCAGATGATGCCAACCTTAGATGGAACTGTGTATACCCCAAAAGGAAGCAATGGTACTGGGGTTCTGGCTCCTCCACAAACTAGTTGTATAGCTGTGGCATTCACTTCCCCTCCCTGAACCCCAGTTTGCTCATCTCTGAAGTGAGAGGGCAGGGGTGGTTCATCTCTGGAGGTTTTTTTTTTCCATTTGAAGTCTCTGAATCTATGGTTACTTCCTCTTCTTCATCAACAAACAGCCTTGGTTCACTTAAAAGTCTTGATGCTGGCATAACATTCAAACTCTACTATGATGGAGTGTGAGATACACATGAATCTTTTCAGATACAGGCTTCAGTGGTCAGGATGAAAGAAAGCCACATATTCACCTTAGTTATAACTGATGTTCAGATTTAGAACTACCACCTACTAAACTGGAACCTTCATGAGGACTAGAAAAGAAGTCATCTGTGGGTTGACTCAGCTGCCAGGTGGGTGGGTCAGTGGCCTATCAGATAGAATTCCGGCCAGGTTTATCCCTATGAGGGCTTAGAAGTTCTTAGGCAGTGACCAAACTACATGCACACATATTACCAGAACATTTCTTCTTTGGGCTCTGGCCCTTTGTGGAGCCGTAGAAAAGGAGAAGGATGAGGTGAGGCTAGACTAACACATATCACTGACGGGACTAAGAGAGACTTTTGTCATTACTGCCTTAAAATATTTCATGAGATTAAAAGAGCACCAAGTCTAGGCCATGATGCTGCTGTGTACCGCACCAACACACCCTATCTGGTTTAGGTAGCTTCAAGAGATAATAATAAGCCCTTATGTTCTATAGAACCTTAAATTTTATGTAGCACATTAAATGTACTTACTTATTTTTCAGTTGTATTCTGAGTCTAACCATTGCCCTGGTGAGTAATAATTATCTCTGTTTTAAATACAAAGGAAATGAAGCTGAGTGAGTTAAAAACTTGTTCAAGGGTGGTTGATAAGTAAACAAGTCAGGTACCCAGCATGCATCTGTCTGAGCTCCATCAAGGTATTTTTTTTTCTTTTTCCAAATTTCCATGCAAGTTGCATTAGATCTGGACCAGGGCCCTGACATTCAAATCTAGAAGTAACTCTGCGGGGTCTGGAATTAGTCTCATCCAGTCATTTTCTTCATTTTGATGAAGACAGGTCTCTCACACAGGTGTGGTAACTAAAGGGGTGGGTGTACATTCTGGAAAATCAGTAGCAGATCTTACAACTGAACTAAATAGGTCTCCTCTTCCTTCTTTATAATGGGGTAATGTTTCCCAGAGACCCACTCACTTAGGGAGATGGATAGGTCATACCAGTGTGCCAGTAATCCACAATTATTTCACGATTTTAGGAATTTCTCCTTCAGGTATCTCAGGAAAGACTGACCTCTGAGCTATGCTCCTACTTGTATCCCTCAGTATCCACTGTTCATGTCTTCATAGAAGACCCCTGCTTCTCTTCTCTCCAAGCAAGCTCTCATCTGGTCAGTAACTCCAAACACAATATGAGGGCACCTTTTCGCTACCTAATAATGGCTTAGTATGGCTAGAAAAAGACATTTTGCTCTTGGCAGCAGAGGATATAAGCCCCATTCTGAGCTGTTCCTCCCACCTGCTATTGACTCTGTGAAGGATTTTTCCTTTGCCCATGGTACCTCTTCCATGGGAGATGCTGGTCATTGTCAAGACCCTGCTCATGCACTGCTTCTGAGGTGTACTTATTTCCCAGGTGACTCCTGCTCACCCCTGGGATCGTTTCACCGTTATCACCAACATGATGTACATAGTTCTGAACTGCAGTTGGTTTCTTAGTATTGATTTGCCAGTCTGGGGCTCTTCGAAAGCAGAAACTATATTATCACAGATCTGGCACATTGCCCAACACACAGTAGGTGCAGTAAAGGTTAGGGAATGAATGGATGGGATGTCTTTCCCCTGTGATAAAACCAATAAAGTGGCTTGCCTAGTGTTTATTATCTTCTTGGGTTTGGTCCTGAGGGTTTTTATTTTTTATTTTTTATTTTTTTTGCCTCTTTTAATTCTATAGGCAGCATGTTGACAGTGAAGGCCAGAGAAACATTTCTTTTGTAATGGGCCTCTTTCCTACAACGGTGTTATGGGTAAAGGTGGGGAGGCAGAATTTCAGAAAAAGGGAGGCACTGGGCCGAGGGAAGGCCCATCAGACTAAGTGGTTTGAGAGATCTGAATTAGTTCAAAGGTAGGAGAGAGAACCTTGCAGAAGTTTCCCACTCACACATAAGTCTATAGAATATAAGGGTTTACTTTAAAAAATTACATTGAAAAAAACCCCACAAAAACAAAACAAAACAAAAAAACCAGGACACACAGTTGTGCTTAATGTAGCGGTGACTTTCATTTGCAATGTTCTTTAGGTGGCATCGGGACAAGATGCACCCATGTAACTTTTCAGACTTGTTCTTGGTCCCCCCAGGACTTCAGAATGAAGGTTCCTTAAATGAACTTCATGTTCTTAAGGGTGCAGCACAGAGGCTTTGAGGGGCAGGTGCTGCCTTCCTGTCATCCTCCATTGAGCAGACTGGGCAGAGCAGGCCTGCTGGTTCCCATGGCAGACTGGCTGGCATTTTCTGTTAAATTAGGGCAACTGCTCGTCTCTGCTTCAGGCTCCCTTTAGTTAGGCAGGGCTGGTGTTCAAAATCACAGCTATCTACCTGGCTATCATTTACTTAACTATTATTACACAAATCATTCCAACAAAGCCCTTTTAAAACACACAGAATCAGGACCTGCTGTGTGCTCCCAGCTACCTTCACCGGTGGGAAGAGGATCAGAAAAGTTCAGAAAAAAAAATCTGTGTCACACAAATTCTCTGGCAACTCAGAATAGCACACAGGTCTCACTCCACCCCTCGGCTCCAGGCCACATTTTTCAGTTTGGTTGGTCAGTTTCTTAGACCCGATGAAATTATAGTTTCTTTTAGGGTGATTAAGAAAAATCCAAATCGGTGTGATTTTAGGAGCATCTCAAATGCTGACCCTGTCTGTCGAGACAGTGTCCGTCTGCTCCTTTTTAAGTGGTTCCTGCCCACAGCTGGTGTCAACGGGAACTGAGAACTCCACCCCAAACTCCAGAGGAGCTCAAGTGGCAGGCCAGGAGCAGAAGTTGTGAGACCTCTAGGAGGAAAGCAAGCTAGATCGAAAGCAATCCGGCAAGAAGCTTCTTAGAAGTAACCCCTTTACCTCACTTCTCTCTGGGGCGGATTTCACCAGATAGAAGTGACTGGGAAGTCCCCTTCCACACCAGGGGCAGCTCCCGAATGTATTTTGAAAATAAAGCACACAGCAATATAGAAAGTTTTGAAACTCACCTTTGGGGTCCACTGAGAACTTCCTGCATGTGGGACCGGTACGCTGGATCTGCTTGGGTGCTGTCGGGAGTGACTTGGGCACAAGGGCGAGGTCTCAGTCCCTCCTCCAGCCCCTCCCTCCCACTACCAGGACCCGGGAAGGAGGCGGTGCTGCGGACAGTGGGTGCCACCCATGCGGTGTGGAGGGAAGCACTCCTTGTGTTCCCCACTGAGGTTTCCCAGCAGCTCCCAGCCCTGCTCCTGAGGTCAGGAACTCAACTCGACTTCCTGAATCTGACTGGCTGACTCGGCCACTCCCCAGCCCAGCCCAGCCCATGCCTTAAACTAGCGCGCACACACCACAGCCACAGCCCAGTCTCCTTCCTCCGGGGTTCCCCGCCAGTGCCCCCCACTCCGCCCCGCTGTGACGTACTTTTGCCCCCAGCACTCCTCCTTAAGGACGCCGAGCTCTCCTAGAGCTGACAGAGTCAGCTTTGCTCACAGATACACCAGTGTTCTCAGGGACGTGGGTGTAAACTCCAACAGCCCGGTGCTGCCAAAAGGGGCCACCATCTAGGAAAGGGAATGGAACAGCTTAAGGGACAAGCAGGCTACAATGCCTCATCCCGACTAGGTATCCTGGTGTGTGTGCTCCAAGGCATCCTCTGGAAACTCTTTGGCTGCTGGCTGAAGACACCTAGGTAAAGTGATAGGAGCCACCTGAAACTGTTAGGAGCACAGAAGGCGGGGACAACTAGCTTCAGAAAGTTCTCAGGAGTTCTCCCCCTTTTACTTCATTTGTTCTTCGTGTGCGTGTGTTCAGATCTCTTGGGTCTAACTCTGCCCACAAACATAAAGGCTCTGATGATAAAGAACGTGTTCAGTGCCTCCAAGGCTTCCCGTGGGAAGATGAAAGGTATGATGGCAGAAGCGGCTATGGAGCATCTATGAGCTTCCCCAGAAACAACTTGGGAGATCTGGCCATTGGATTGTAGGTGCCAGGTGCGTGTAGCTGGAGCTTGCTCTCTGGCGTCTGTGCCTGAGCCTTACGGCCCTTTGGCCTTTCCGTGCCTGAATTAAAACGACTGGTGAAACCAACTGTCACAACCGAGAAACAAGAGTGTTCTTCCTGTTTACTTGAGAGAAGCCAGCCGGCCCTGGTTTGACAGACCAAAGAGAAAGCCTAGCACTCATCCAGAAATCCTGGCAGAGAGAGTCTGATCTAGATCTTTTGTTGTTTGAAATCAAGTCTCACTATATAGCCCTGGCTGGCCTGGAACTCACACTGTAGACCAGACTGGCCTCACAAAGATCTGCCCAGCTATGCCTCCTAAGTGTTGGAATTAAAGGTGTGTTCCATCGATCTAGATTTGAATAAGAAGGGGAAGAGCGGTCCCAGAGATTTGATGTTTACTGCTTAGTCTGGTTGAATGGGTAGGGAGAGAAGGTCAGGCTGTGAAAGAAGACAGAGTTCTTAGAAGGATACAGCCATACCCGACTCCACCAACAACTGGAGGGGTGGTGGGCAGGGGTGAGGGTGTGGTGCCTAGATGGAGGGCTTACCTGGTGTGTCAAATCTGAAGCAGGGGTCTAGAGTCTCATGGAGCACTGGGCTGGAGGAAGACAGCCTTGGGGAATGACAGAAAATCTGGTGCAGACCCAGTGATTGGAGACTGAGTCTCTCCAAGACCCACAGCTTTAAATAGTGTGTCATTCTGTCTGAAAACGCAAGTGTGTGAGATGTAATTTGATCCTCCCTTTGAGGATGGTAACTTTCTTCCTCAAGGTCATAGCTAAGGCCCCATCATCAGGAGAGAGAATGACTTCTGTGGAGAACTTCTGCTTTTGAGTTGGGCTGATGTGCAAGTCTATTGCTCCTACTGGGTGGGGAAGACAAAGGCAAATACTTTCCTGAACAGCTTTATTGATGGGTTCAGGCCGAGGTGACAGTCACATTGCTTTTCAGAGAAACAACAGCACGGAGAGATGAAATGAAGAAAGGAAGGAAACCAGCTCAGTGCTTTCTGAGTATGACTGTTAGATACGGAAGAAAAATCAGAAGCTTATCTATAGGGTGGCATCTCAATGCTGTCTTAGTTCTCAGGGAGACAAGTCTGGTAAAAGGACAAATTGGGGACCTAATAGATGGCAAGTGCTTTCACTGAACTGCCTAGGCTATAGGGTCTTTTGTGGTTCTGACAATGAGGAAGATACATCTATAGCACGAACAAAGGAATGAACATCTGGCCAGGAGGTTTGCATTCTGGACGGATGACGCACCCCTTATGAAAAATCAAGCCAGAGCATCCACCTACTGTCTCACCCCTTTGGCAGTGAGATCCTAACTCTTTTATGAACTCATCCATGGCCCTAGGCAACTAAGTGCGGCTTCAGTTTTTTAAAGTCCTCATTAGTTTTCCTGTTTTTTAGTATAGATTTTTGAAGGTGGTCAAGAGGTTAGTGAGTTCCAAGTGGAGTGAATCGGGGCATTAACACATCTAATTAAGAAACAAAAAGCCCCAAATAGAAGATTTATGAACCAAGATGGGAAATTTAACCCCCCACTGTGGGTGACCACTCCTTACTAACTTTAGCATCAGATGACCTCTGGTTCCATATCACAGTATTTCAGACAAAAGCTCTGGGCCCCCTCCCAGATGTTGTGGGGACCAACAGGACATTAAACACTGAATTGCAGCCTGCTTTGAAAGTGAAGGCTGACTACACTTGATCTCTCTTGGTAATGCCCTATATCAGACAAGTCAGTGGCAGTGTTGGCCAGCACTAACTCACCTGTGCAAGCCACTTGTGGGAGAGAGTTTCTCATCAGGTCACACAATCAGAACAGTGCTGTACAATGACAGTAGCAAGAGGGGTATCTTCATCAGTGTGGGAAATATTATGTGGAGAATATTACGTTATTATCACCTAACGCTGGAGCATTCTTGTCTGCAACAATGTATGATGCTCACGCATGTCCAGCCTTTTGACACTGCGACACAATAGTGTCATCTACAACATGCACATTTTAAGAACCGCAAAAAGATTAAAATACACACACACTTCGCAGTGTTTTAGGAGCAGTTCATGACTTTGTGATGGTCTGCATCTGGAGTTACCCTTGGTCACATGTAGCTCTGGGGCAGATTGTGAGTTGGACAGGCTCCATAGAGGTGAGAGCGGAGCCATTAAAAGAAGGATAGAAGGGTTGCTGGCCAGACGCAGGGTGTCGGGGAAATGATGAAACTGTAAGTGGTGCGGGTAAGATGAGCACAGACTTGTTCCTTGGATGCTAAAATGCAGCTGCGTCTGGGAGGCTCGAGAAAGGCAAGTTCAGGACAAGTCAGTGGAAATACCACTTCACACAGTGGGTAATGAATCTGTGGAATGGATTATCTCCCAGAGGTGGCCCAAACTGGCAATGTAAATGCATTCCAGAAAGCTTTGGACAGACATGTAAATGGCAGAGCTGTAACAGAGAGGTAAGGAAAGCTGAGAAGTTAGCCAATTGGTTGGGAGTTCAAGGTGGCCCCACAGTATGGACCTCTGGTCTTTGGAGCCAAAGGAGTCCTGGCCTCCATGTGCTTAGATTTGAGCCAATGGGTAGCCAGACCCTCCTTTGCTTCCTACAGACAATAAAACGCCTCTTTTTACCTAAGCCTTACTCATTAAAACACTTTACTTTTTCATTTTGGCTCTCAACTTCTGAAAAGATTTTGAAATATGTCTTTAGACTGATTATTGTGTGTATCTCTTGCAATTAGATTTCTGTCAGACTTTCCTCCTAAATGATCAAACTTGAACGTAAATGACTCTAATTTTGAAAGCTCTTCTGCAGAAAAGCACTAACAATACACTTTTCTCAGGAATACCTCTTAGCGCATTACCCAAAGAGCTACATGGAGGATGCTGGGCAAAAATGTTGCTTTCACAGCCATTGTGCCAAATTTTGGCATTGACTGTGGAGGGGGAGGGGAGGTAAGGAAACTTTTGGTCCTCTCTTCTACTAATTCACCTGTTCCTCCACCTTCCTGCTCCATGTACTCTGTGCCGCCTGTAGTGTTCATACACGAGGTAGGAAACAGCATTCTGCCCCAAGTCCTTGAGTACAGGCGTGACTCCGAGGGTGTGGTTTCAGTTTTCATTTCCGGGCTCTGGTGCAGAGCAGCCCCTGTGCTGTTTTCAAAGTGGTTTCATGGTGATACGGCTGACTTTGTGAACCTACAGCCCCACTGCCTAGAGCCCTTTGCTGGATTCAATCTTGGCTTCATTAATGTAAACAGAGGGCTTCTGGATTCCATTCTTGTGGCGGCACATCAGAGCAGGAGAGCCCGCAGAGTTCTCATTTTGCCTCTTTCTGTGGTTTCCTTTGTCACTTGCTCTTCTTGTGGGGCTGGGTCTAATTATTGATTTATTGAGCGAACCCACTGTATGGTATCCCAAAGTCTACACAGAGCAGGTAGAGCATGTCTTGTCACTTTGTTGGAGAGATCCCTGGGAAAGCCCTGCTTATTGTGCCCAGTTCATTCATTCTGGCAGAAGGTTCTGTGAAGACCGAAACTGTGCTAGACTCTTGCCCAGAGGGCCCACAAAATAACCGAGGCTTTGAAATTTGCTTCCTTGACTACTTCAGTGACTCAGAACATCAGTGTTGCCACAAACTTCCTGTCCCCGGGGGTGGCTCTTTCATAACAGGTAAAAGGAAGGGCTTGAAAAAGAAAAGAAAAAGAAAAAGAAATGCTAGGAGAGCCCTTATTTACCAGGCTACAGGAGTGAGTTCTTTCTGGTTTAGCTACTGTTGATGCATTGTTTTCTTCATGCCAAGTTCTGTACTACGTGTCAATAGAAAGCTGTTTATAATGAAAGGTTACACTCTGTCATTTGGATTTAACAGCAGTAAAGCTGGAACACTCAAGGAAATTTTCTTAATAAAGGTGGATTGGCCAAAATGTGGAGGTACAATAGAATCTGAAAATACAGTGACAAGCGATCTCTGGCTGGGTCTAACATGAACAAAGGTGTTAAAATGGAACAAACATGGTAGGATCCCCCACCCCATGACTCTTGGAAAGATTCACAATTATGAAGGAAAGCATTATTCATAATTTTGCTCCCCCAAAATGACCACTGTAGCATTTTGGTATATTGTTCTAGTCTCTCAGGGAGATTAGAGTTGGAATTTCTGTATAGGATATTTATATCACTCTAGATTTTTGATAATGAACTGATTACTCTTAACAAAGAAGATGTAAATCCAGTGGCTTTTCGTGGCATTTATTTAGTGAAGAGGGACTGAATTCAGAAACTTCAATGGATGAAAA